TCTCTCCATTCTGCAAGAACACATGTTCCCTGGCACGGAGAGCAAAATATGACAGACCAAAATGTGAGCGAGCGTGTGTGCAGATCCATATACATAGAGCTGAAAATAAAAGTGATCTATTTCCTCTGTAAAAGATTAAGTTATTTCAAAAGAAAGGGAAATAGGTATTATTAGTAATATGAAAGTAATCACATTGAAAGAGCCCCTGGAATCTTTGTGTGTGTGCCCATATGTGGTATGTGTGTTTCAAGCTTTCAGGGCAGCCTTTAGCAAGGGTATTAAAAAGGACTGTGAAAGTGGAGGGAAGCTAGTTGTGATACTCGAGTATCTCATGAGGTCAGAACTGGAATAAACACAACATTACCACGAAAAGTAAAATTAGACATCTTGAAGACCTTGTAAGCACCATCTCTCAGGAGAACAGAGCAGTTGGTGTTCTTGTTTCTCAATGTACACAGACTCTTTGCTCTTGCATTGTTTCCTGCTGAAATGCAAATCCACTTTTCAGGAAAGAAAACCTATGACAGACTGAGGCAAGGGACGAGAGAGGGTAGAGTCTAAAGAATAGGAAAGGTATCTAGGCTTAAAATAGTAAGGACACTGCCTGGAAAGAACAGAAGTAAGAGCCAAGTTGTATTTTACCTAATGAAGCTTAGCTCTTTGAATAAAAACGGTGTTTTTCTACTACTTGCTATAATAGCATTTTCCAGCAGAGGGCAGACTTTACATTAAAATAGATCTAAAAAGGCCTTCGAGAGGTGTTTTTTTTTCTTTTGAATTTTTTTCACTTCAATATTTATAGTTTCCAAATGAATTAAAAATATTTAAAGTATTTAAGATCTGGGGTATGTTAAATATGAAATTTCTTAGGTTCCAGTTAATTTTTTTTGCTGTATTAGCAAAATATTTAAGATGTGTTTCCAAAAATGACACAACTTTTTTCTGTAACTTATGAACTGGTCGGTCTTAGACATTTACTGTCATTATGAACATGTTTTTTGTTTTGTTTTGTTTTGGTTACAAAAATTATTACAGATAATCCTGTCTCTGAATTGAATGATTATAAGTTTCTTTCTTTCCAGTAGAATTTGATATTATTAACTACTTTAACAGAAATTACCACCATTTTGTAATTTGTTTCATACTCGCTTTGATAATTTCCCTAGAGGAAATGATACCTACATAAAAGTTAATTGAGCTTATTACACAATGTAACTCCAGTATTCTATATACCTTTAAGCAGCAACTTCACAAGAACTTAAGGTTTATTTTTCTCCAAGATTCTTTTCCTTAATTCAACAGAATCATTCTTACCATAAATTTTTTTAAAAAGTAGGAACTACTGCCTAATTTTTGAAGCAAGGTTAGGTCACTTGCTATCAGAGTGCAGATCTGGAGACCAAGCCATAGGACTCTAAAGCACACACTCTTTCTGTGGCAACAGACTGCTTTCCATTGGCCCTATTTTATATGATCTAGTTTAAAGTTATATTTGTTACAACCTAAGTCCAGATTGACATACCTTGAAAAGTACAGAGAACAAAAGAAGATAATCCTTAATAAATTAGGTGTAGGAATTTTTGGTACATACTCAATAGGTTGGTTTATTTTGGGCAACACATAAGCAGTTTTTTGATCTTGCTTTTTTTAGGGGGATGGTGTCTGTGTGATGGGTGTAGGACTTTTTTTTAAGTGAGTAAATCAGGAAAACCTCTGGGGAAGACATTTTTAATGTTATGGAAGATATAATGTATCCTTTTATTATTAAACTTATTTCCTTTAGTACTTCTATTTCTAAGAAAGAAAAAAAACAAAATGCAAAAGAATTTGCTGCCTAGGAAACTAAATTATTTTTGTGTGGAGAAGCTGGAGATTTATATACTCTTAAATAACAAAGAAATAGGGCACTATGTATTCACTTTCACTTTATAATAATCTCCAGCAGAATTATTGCAATTAATTTTGTGCAACAAGGACAGAATTGTCCTATTTTAATTTGTGTGCAAAATGAGTGTAGAAGCTTAAATATGAAGTGAATCAGAAATGTTAGGAAAGTACAATCATCTCTCCAACTTTTTTTCTTGGAAAGATAAGCTCTGTTTTAATTTTGGTGGAAAACTTGACTTTACTATGAAAATGTCTGTTGCTGTTTTTATAAGCAATTTTTATTTCATTTAACACTATGGACACAGGATTATTTACTTGTTTACAGAGCTTCACGCAAAACATTTGCCGTGCTTGATGTGGTATTGAAAGCACGGGAACACTGGCGTTGGAGCCATAAAACGAGGCTCTGCTTTATAGCTGTGTGATGTGGATAAATCGTTTAACCTCTCTGAGTTTGGTTGTTCACCCATAAACCCAGGCTGATAACAGAGTTCCATCACAAAGGATGTTGAGAGGTTAAGATACAACTTATATTATGTCTAAGAAAGCTCTGAGCCTAGTGTCTGCCTCACACATTGCAGACTTCATTGTAACATCCAAATAATCCAGATAATGCACATAAGTAATAATACCCAATTTTTGGTAGCAACTTCATTAGCAATGAATTTTTTATAAACACTGCGTAAAGTCCCACAAAAATTTATCGCACAAAACATGAGGAAATCTGGACTTTACAAATACAAAGGGTAGGTTTAAGGTTACAGTTTAACTTCTAGTGATCAGAAAATGAAGGGAAATCAAAGAGAATTTCCATTTCTGTTATACTTACTGGAATATTTAATAGTAGTAATGTCAGAGTTTTACATTATATTTATTAGTATTTTCCAGTAATTTGGATACTCTTTCCAGTTCTTAAATCTGCATTTAAAATGACAAATGAAAAACATGTCAAAATTTACTCTTTGCCTTAAAAATCTCGGTCTGTATTTCTAGATCTAGATTATCTTTGCAATGACATTTTCCCCATCTCATTTTACACCTTGCCTTTTCCTTACAAATCATATTCTCTTTTCATCAGTACATCTGCCCAAAACACTCTTCGACTTGACAGTTCTATCCCACACTCGCCTCTGAGCTTCTAACAAGACATACCTCTGGGATTTGCAAAGTGCCATATTTAAAATCTCTCAGTGAGATATACAGGTTTTCCCTTGTGATCATCAGGGATTCCTCAAATCTGAGTTTTAGAGCTAATCTACAACAACTGATAAGCACAGCATTTTCACATTAGTATATTTATGTTGTGCTAATATACTTAAACAGTATGTATGTCCATTGAGAATTTTTCTACAACTTTCTTATCAGTATTTTCCTAAATTCAAGAAAGATGTCTTTCATATTTAATTAACATTGCCTGAAATCGTGTTATTTCTCTCAAGCTAAATGGACTTAATCAAGTTGGAGAGGAGATGTTTCGATGTAACAAGCACATACTCAATGGAGCAACAGGGTGCAATATGAAGGAAGAAATTACTGATTACCCCTGACAACATAGATGAATCTCACATGTCTTGTGCTGAGTTACAGTAGCCAGACATAAAGGTTACATATTGCACGAATTCGTTTATAGGGCATTCTGGAACAAATAAAAATATAGGAACAGAAGCCAGATGAGTGGTTTCCAGGTGATAGTAGGGAGAATTAAGGATAAAGGGCTTTAGGGACTTGGAGGATGACAGGAACATTTAAATTGTAATAGTGGTTATAGAACTGTATGCAATTATCAAACTCTTGAAGCCATACACCTAAGAAGAGTGACTTTTTACATTGTAGAAGTTCCACCTCATCTGACTTGAAACAATTAACTGGTTAAAAAAATAGCAATACATGTAGCTTTGAGTTTTGTATCATCTCTTTCTACAGAAGTTTTATTGATAACATACTATATGTCCATTTTTTATTCATTTCTATTTCCAGCTCTAAATATATGACACTTAAGAGTAGTTTTTACATAGCTGAAGGCTACCTTAATATATTTATTACCACACTGGAAACCTTTAGGATGAATGATAATTACCTAACATGTATAAATATTATGAAATATGATTAATTATAGGAATATTAGAAGTGGAATGCCTGCCCTAGTAATATAACAACTACTTGATTTTTATTTCATTTTCTAATTACTAGCAATTAAGCAACTGAGCCAAGAACTTGCTGTACCTCATATTACTTAATTACTTAATGGTTACCAAACCCTATGAGGTAAGTGTATTAGAGTCACTTTCAATAACAGAAACATAGGATTTGAGCAAATTTCATAAGTCTGATGACCAGTTTAATGGTACTTCTGATGTATGAGGATGAGATTGAATACATCTTTGGAAATAAATGGCACGGAAGAAACTCTTTCCTGAGACAAAGGTTTTCAAAAAACAATTGTTGCTGACTCCTGAAAACGGAAAATCAGGGTTAAGCTAAGGGTATGCACTTGCTGTTCACACTAACTATTGAAGGAGGCTTAGTTTAATTATAGAAAAGAAAAACATCTCCAACCTCACATAAGCTTCTACTAAATCATGATGCCAGGCTTTAGTGGAATCCTATTTGAGAAAATTCTTTTTGAGCTTTTAAATTTATGCTTATCACTGAAATGTTTCCATAACTGACCAGTAGATACATGGACATTATTAACTGTTATACCTTATTAGTTCCCTACCATTTTATATGAAAATAACTCAATGGTTTCTGTAATAATTTTTCTTTAAAAGCCATTATCAGACTTGGATATTTTTTGGAGGGGGGCAGAATTTATATGTAGAGGGATAACAACAATCATAAATTCTTAGAAATTTGCATTTGTTCTCACGTTGAATGTGTAGTGCTTTCAGTAGGTAATATATATTTGACTCACTACCCAGCAGCTGCACATCCACAGTGGAATTTTTTTAGTGTAGCCTGCCAGAAACTCTTACCTTTTATTCATCTTTGTCTGAGTGTGCCTCCCCCACTTGCATTGAACTGTATGTACTGTGTGCTGTAGAGGTGTGCAGTTAAAACACGTTTATTCTCAGAAATATTTTTAAAATATTTTAAAATGTTTTCCTTTGCAGAATCAGACACAAGTTTGGCAGAAGGAAGTGTCAGCTGCTTAGATGAAAGTCTTGGACATAACAGCAACATGGGCAGTGATTCAGGCACCATGGGAAGTGATTCAGGTACTGCCTAACTGTTGTGTAAACCTTAAAAAGTGTGAAATAAGACGCCATATAGTGGAATGCATGGGGGCTGTTCGTACCCTCCCTAATGTACTTATGCAATTAAAGCAATTCTTTTCTGCAGTGAGTTGTTCTGGAACCTTGCCATTTACTTTCTCTAAAAGTACAACTCACAAAAGTCTTAGAACCAAACCTTAACTTTGATCTAGTACATATCTTTTTGGTCTGTATAGGCTACATTTCAAAGGATCATGTCATCTATTTTGTTTATGAAATCTGTTTCAATTCATTTGGGCTGCATGAAATTCTCTATGTAATTTGGTATGTTTATCTATTCTAAAATGCAATTTTTATTAAAATACATTTAAATAAAAATTAATTTTATCAATAAAAAGAATGTGACTCCAGATAACAAACAGAATACCTACAAAAATAACAAATTAAAAATTATACATACAAATGAAAGAGTTCCAATTCATACACATAGCAGTAGATCTTACAAGTCACTAACTTTTCTTCATATTGATAGCATATCCCAGCAGTAATAAATGAGCGTGTGGTTCCCAATACCCTGCACCTTCATCAATACTTCCTATATATCCTCACATGTCATCTTAATAGATTCAAAATATTTCCTTCTATTCTTTGACTGCATATTCCATGATTACTACTGAGCTAGACTGCTGACATCTTCAAGTATGGGTGATGGATTATTACACACCTTTCTACATTTGTCAACATATTTGATTAATTAATAGTTCAAATGCTTTGAAATGTGGCCAGCTAAGAGACCATAGAAACTGGCAAATTAAAAAAAATTATTTTATACTTCATTTGTGATTTTTTCCACTTCTAAAATATTATATAATTAATATTATCTTGCATTGTGAGAACTATAGAAATCTAGATCTACAATAGGTCTAAAAGAGAAAAATAGTTTATAGAAACTATAAACTAAAAGCTTACTAAGTTGAATTGTATCACTGCTTCTCTTTGATCACATTCCTGCATCACTTACAACAAGCTCATTTGAGGAAATCCAGTTCACAAATGTCAGTCATAACTCTAACTCTAATATAAAAGGGTTAATTCATTATCTTATCAACATAGTTAGTGTTTATCAAGTTCTTGCCATCAGCTTCTTTCTGTGAATTGTATTTTTCTGTCCTCATCATAAAATTGTTAAATTTAATAATTAACATTTCTATTACATGCTATTGATGCTAGAACTCAAAATACACTTTAGCTAATAGTTAACATCTAAATGGATGATTTTAAACCTCTGAACCTCATCCGATTCTTATTTGTCTAAGTAAGGGCTTTTCAATGATATTTATTCATTTGATAAATATCTAAAACATATCCTCTATTTGCAGGGCATTTTGCCTATTTAGAGCTGTTAGCAAATGTATTTGCTGAGTTTTAGTCTTCAATGTGGCATGAAAGACATGATAAATCTGAACGCAAACCACTTTTGAAAAGTAAATGCATTTTCAAAGGCAAATACATTTTTAAAAACACATTTTCAAGGGACACCCTTGAAGTTCGAGGTGGTTCATTCTTTAGAGCAAAGAATTACTTTGAATAGTGGGCACTAAAATTTTGAAATGGTAAAAATTATGAAATTCCTTACCTTTAGGTGAATGTGAAAGCTAAAATAGAAAGCATTTCAATGAAAGGTCTTGGTAAATTGGTGAAGTGATAAACACATATTGGGTCACTGAAATACTGAAAAGTATTGTGGGGAATTGTAATTATATTTTAAGCTTTGAGGTTGACGTCAAAAAGCACCTTATTCTACATGTCCTTAATCCTCCTTCAAAGGTCTTAGCATGGTCCCCAGGATCATGAGTGTGAACCAATACAATCCTATTATGTTCTTTGTGGAAATATTAGACCACAGCAAAATATAATTACTGGTACTTTGATAGCTTAAATATTCTAATTACATTAGGAAATTTTTCCCATTTCCCCTCTTTAGAGAGATGTACTGTTTCTCAAAAAAAGTGGCAATATTTTTTGTAGATACACATTGGCCTAATATGTAGAAAATGTTTCATTACTATTTCGAGGTAATGCCTATTAATATTTGTCCAACTGGAATGGCATATTTTTCTGTGGTTTCATACTATAGGTAAAAGAATACTTTGTCGATTTCAAACACATGCAGTGACAGACCTTTTCTCTCCAAGAATAACTCAGCTGTCAAAATCAATGTGAGAATGAAATTTGCCACATGGTGTAGTTCCAATAGAATATTATTATTTAAACCCCAGTTGAATTTATTTTTTGACCATTTATAATGGTATAATTTTAAGGTCTGCAATCATTTTTTGTTTTATAGTGAGGGCACAATGTAATTCAAAGCCTGTGCGTATTTAAATACTCTTCTCTCTATTGCGTTTAATTGATTATGCTTTTCAGAGGGAGCCAAAAATAAACAAACAACAACAACCCAAACATTTCTTTTATCAAGGAAATTGGCTTCTGGCTCTTTGATTCCTGCCCAGTTTTCTCCTTCTGGTGACAGAAAAGAGAAAACTCTTTTTTTTTTTTTTTTTTTTATTGCTTATGTGGATAAATTCTTCCCTCTCTATGTCAGAGGATGTGATAAGGCAAGAGGCAGGCAGAATATTTAGCACTCACCCAGCTCTTTTTCTTTGAATGCTGTTCTCACATTGAATTCAACTCTAACTCTTTCTGTATCCACTCTGCTTTCTGCTTTACACTTGGGGCTGCCCATCAGATCTCTGGTCTTGACTCAAAATTATAGATTATTCAGGTATCTATTTATCTAGCCACATATATACATATATATACACATATGTACATACATGTCCATATGTATGTATATATTTGATACTACTGGGATTTGAACTCAGGGCCTAGCGCTTGCTAAGTAGATGCTTTACTACACGACCCATACCCCTAGCCCTTTTTTGCTTTAATAGTTTTTCAGATAGGGTCTCATGTTTTCTCCCTCCCTGGGTCAGCCTCAGATTACAATCCTCCAACCTAGGTCTCCACCTGGTTAAGATAACAGGCACATACCACTATGCCTGTTTTGTTAGTTGAAATGAGATCTTGCTAATTTTTTGCCTATACTTGCCTCAACCTCTATCCTTCCAATCTTTACCTCCTGAGTAGCTGGAATTATAGACATGATCCATCATGCCTGGCCTAACCTGATATCTTAAGTGGCAACAATATTGTTCCCTAGACTGAAGTCCTTTGTGGCAGTGATGGCAAATAATAGGCACCCAGGAAATATTTACTGCAGGTGGATTAGTTAAGTAGCAGTAAAACTTCAAGATTTTGCTTCAGGAGATAAAATTTTGAAAACAACAGTCCTTTTAGCATTCTAAATCTCCTTAAATTTATTAGTAAAATGAATATCTAGTGTTCATAAGTGACACTGATATTTTACTTATTTAATGGGATTTTAGGTTCATGGAAAAGATACTTAGAAAATTGCTATATTTTCTCCTTTAAATTTTTGTTGCCCAAGGATACAGTAATAAGATGGACAAGGAGGGAAATGATTTTACAAAATACATACAACTATTATAACGAAGCCACTATTTTATTATTTTTAAAATCTATGCCAAAATGCACCTGGAGTGACATTCAACAAAAAAGAATTTTGTTATATCTCTTAACAAACATTCTAGATCAATTAGCAATTTCAAAAATATTCTGGTTCTTTTGGGAAAAGTTACATGGTAAATCCTTTAATAGAGGTGAAATGTTAGGATTTTTATTACATATAAAAGCCACCTAGAGAAATAATGTTCTCAAATCTGAACCTTACATAAATATAGTAAGAGATGAATTATTATAAATATTGAAGAGTTCAAAACAGGCATAGAAAGAAACCTTGTAACTGTGTATTTTAAATGCTGATGATCTTAAATAAAAATCATATTGAGTGAATCAGCAGATGACGCAGTGATAGCTTAAATGTACCTCGTCCACATCTGTCTTCACTCATCCATACGGAGGCAAATTTCCTGCCATGTCAGTGGATAGTTCTTACTAAGTGACATTTGGTGTGAATTTTTCTACCTGCCCAGATAGTACTATCACAACAAGCTAAATCCTACTTAAATAGATCAGCTCGTTGCTACAATGGAGCCATCAGCAAGTTTTTAGATGCTAATGGGATTACGTTACTTTAGTTTTATTGCAGCCACTGATAAAAGTGTTTCATGTGTGATGAAACACTGGTAAGTACTGTCATTTCAGTTTTTCCTTGTGATTACATAAAGCATAAGGTGAACTTTTAAACTGGTATATTTATTTTACTACATTCCACATGGTAAGCTATATAGTTTTAGATATTTTCTCCTTGACTAAACAGATAAATATGGTCACTTCAAAATAAAAAATATCTAAAACAAGATATGTTATAATAATCTTATTCTAACACTTGTAAAATTAATGACTGTTAATATCTACTTCATCAGTATTTTTAATTTTCAAAATTCTATGTTAATTGGAATTATCTATAATATATTGTGCTTTATGTTTTAGGAAAAGAATGAATATATGAAGTAATAAACATCACAATTCAAAACTAAATGGCAAAAATCAGTCACAGTTTAGTTTTACCCTACATAATTATGTTGACCTTCCAATGAAAGCCTACCAATTAAAGATTAGTGTGGGAAGAGTTTCTTTTATCACCCAAGTATTGCTTCTATACAGTCTAATTGCCTCAAATGGGAAATAGGACTTCACACACATGCACACACACACACTCACACCCTCCATATCCAGATTCTACATTTACAGATTTGACCAAAAGCAGAGCAAAAATATATTTCGTAGAAAATCTCTTTGTTGAACATGTACAGCCTTTTCCTTGTCATTATTTCCTAAATACAAAATAGCAATTATTTACATAACATTTACATTTTATTAGTTATCATGAATAATCTAGAAGTGATTTAAAGCATACAGGGAGGTATGCATGAGATATGTACAAATACTACTCCAATGTATACAAGGGACTTGAGCACCCAGAGATGTCTTGTGTATATATATGCTTTGCAGCATTTAGTTGTCAGAAACAATTTAGACAAATGAAGAAAAGAGGTTTCGGCTGCTGTACCTTCCTTGTAATAAAAATTAAGAGAACCCAGAATAGGAGACCTAATGAATCTTACTTTCCTAGTTCTTGTTGATTCGTAGGAGGAAGGACTAACAGCCACAAGTAGGTATGATGGTGAAATAGACATGGGAAGTCTGATCAGCATTAACAACCTTAACTGCCAAGTCTATACCACAGCCCTTTCTGAAAATTCCCCATGGCTTTGAAAATACTCTTCCATGTTGGCCCTTCTCCAGGCACCCATGCTGTCACTTCACTCCCTCTGGGTCCCCATTCCTAGGCCATTTCTATGACATATAGCCTGTGTCATAGCCTGCAAATGTAGACAGAGAACTGACATTCATTATACAGAAAATAGAAAATGGATTGGTTTGAACCAAAAGAAAGGAAAAGAAAGTCAAATCACAAGAGGCCTATATTCAGTTTCAGGCTTCCTCGTCTTGTTATTTTATTGCCTCTTCTCTACTGTTTCTTCTTTGGAACTGCCTGCAGATGAAGAGAAGATGGCAGAAAGAGTATCCCCTGAGCCAGAGTTGCAGCTCCGGCCTTACCAAATGGAAGTGGCCCAGCCAGCCTTGGAAGGGAAGAATATCATCATCTGCCTTCCCACAGGGAGTGGGAAGACCAGAGTGGCTGTTTACATTACCAAGGCACACTTGGACAGGAAGAGACAAGCATCTAAGCCCGGGAAAGTTATAGTCCTGGTCAATAAGGTATTCCACCAACACAAAGTAGAACATAATTTGATTGTTTTCATTTTAGGTAATAATATTTGTAGCACAAATCGCATAGGTCTAGTTAAATTAGATGCATGGGTAAAATGAGATATTTATTTTACTTTTAATATAACTAAATGATTCACTATAAAATGGAATTTTTCCATAATACAAGAACATTAAATCAAATAGCTATAATTTATGTATACAGATTATGTTTACAAAATACCATCTTCTAGAGTCTCTTTAACCACTGACAGGTCATTGAAGATAGCAAGTCCTTTTTATCCAGAATGTTCTTTGAAGACAAAGAGAAAATTAAGTGATTATTTACCTATTTAACAATGTTCAGAGATTATATATAATATATGTAAATATTTGCTAAGTTATATTAACTATGACTGAAGTTCTTCTTTGATAACTCATATCTTGAGGTATCTGAAGGACTTCTTCATAAGCAGACATGCATTTCCTTCACTGAAAACCAGAATCTAGTTATTTGAGCTTTATTCAGACAAAAGAGAATTTATTATAAATATTTAGATTGGAAATACTAATTTTTTTCATTCTACAGATAAAATTGAGTATACTTTTCATGATCTTTTTTTCTATTCTCATATATTCCTTTATAGAAAATACATAAATAGATTATAAAACCGCCTGTATTTTTGAGATTTTTGATTATGCCAAAACTTTCAGTTGAAACCTGAAAACTAAAAGAATATACTTAAAAACTAAAGAATGTACTTAGAACCCATGATTTGTGTGATTTCCATCATGTAGTCCAAAATGCACTTTGTATGTGTTTGCTAAGTCTAAAGATTCGCCTTTTCCCATTATACCCACTGTTAGACACTTGTTTGTTGTAGTTTTGTTTTTGCTGGTAATGGTGATATATTAGAATTTATTTGCTGATAACCTTTTATAAAGTCCCTTTATAAATAGGATATTACCTTTCAATCTAACATACGTTTAAATTCAATTTCTCCTTACTAGTAGTTTGACTTCGGACAAATTAGTAACTAAGTTTAGTTGCCTCATCCTTAAAATCAACAAAGTAGTTACAATACCCTGAAGTTAGATGTGTATAAAGTGTATGTAAGAGTCTAATAGATAGTAGCGCTCTCATTTTTCCTTCTCACTGTATCAGTAATTAAATCAAATATTTTAACTACAGAACAGAATTGTGAGTGTTAGATCCATAGGAAAGAACAAAGTTAACTGGATTCAAAGGCACCTAAACTGCTGTTTTTGGTACCATTTGACCATTCTCCCTTTTTCTCAAACTCAGCCTTATCATTTATCCTCCCAAGGGCTCTCTTTCCTTGCCTATCATTTCTTTTTTAGTTTCACCAGCCCCCCAAACCATGGAGCTTCAAAACTTATTTTTTCATTCATCTCCTTCCTTTATTTACCTTGTGTCATCACAAGGTCATAGACAATTAGAGTTAGAAGGAGGCCTTTGAGATCCAGCTTTCTTCCTTTACAAGGTGCTTCCTTTCTGCTGGGAAAGTTCTAATATTAAAAGATTTCCAAGGGAGCCCCAACCATTGTTTGAACAACTGCCATTGTTAGAGCCATGAATGTATTCATCCAAATTTGTTTCTCTGGAATCCACACTCACTGGTTAGAGTTCTTTCCTCTGCCATTATGCAGAGAGTAAATCTTAATCCACCATCTTATGCATTCTATGTTATTTTCTTCTGTACCCTTGCATAAATGTCTTCGGTTCATTTCATTACTGCTCATATAACATGGTTTCCAGACCCTTCATCATTCTGAGTTCTCACACCCTTCCTGAAATTTACCTAAGACTCTCTTAAAATACTGTCCAGAGTTGGACAAAATGCTACAGATATAGTCCTACAAATGCAGTGTGTAAGAGAGATGAGGTGTCCACACTCAGCTCAGGATTGTATTTACTTTGACATCACAGACTCACCTTCATTTGAAAATCTGTTAAACTAGAGCTTTCTTAACTTGTTTTTGTGCTACTAATTTTTAAGCCTAAGTGTAAATATGTTTAGCTCTTCATATCTTTCAGATCTCATTTTTAATGCATCTAATGTGCCTTTCTTTCTATAAGATTTCCTTCCCTCAATGCTTTATTCTAGTTAGAAATCTTTCTTCCTGTCAGATCTAAGTGATTTTTACATATGCACATTTATAGCCATGTTGAAATGTTAATGTATCCCCATCATTCATATTCACTTCATTGTTGCATGAACATTTGAGGACATAACTCTAATCCCTGATCTGCTTCCTTATTGCTTTTCTCCTTAGAATTACTAGAAATCTTTCTACCAGTTCTTCCATCTATGTCACAATTGTTGACTATCCAATTTATCTGAATTTTAAAATAACTTCAGCTTTAATTATATTTGATTTAATGAGAAAGTCTTCATCCCAGAAAGTCAATATAGCAAGGTATTATAACCTTTGATCTACAAAAGAGAAATCCTGTTCTATAACACCATTTATTTTCATCTCCCTTTCTCCATCCTTTCCAAAGTTATAGCCTTCAAATGCAGGGAGAAATGAAAACACCACCTGTGCTCCCAGACTTTCCATTTCCTATCTAGGCCTTCCACACCATGAGAAATAAGTCCCAGGTTCCTTCAGATGCTATAAAGCAGCCCCATCTGATTCAGCAGAAGTGGGTAGCAGTTGGGTTTGATTAATCTTGGCAGACACTCTGTCACATCTCAGGAAAAGACTCCAAGAGGACCACACACCTCCCAATTAGCCATGTCAGACTTGCATCTGGCTTTTTCTGTGTCCTTCAGTAGGAAGTCAATGCTAACCAAAGTGGGTATCAGAATTACCCAACCCCTGCAATCTCCTGTGATACTTTTTCTTTTTCTTCTGTAGATCAAAGGATGCTCCTGCTTTGGAATGTTTTGGCTCACCTGATATGGGGAGAACCTCTTGTTGTTATGTCACTCCATGGTACAGAAATTCTCAATTATGGCATTTTAGCATGAGTGCATTAAAAAACAAATCAAATGCATGTCTACTGTCAAGGAATCTATACTGTAGAAAGGATATAAGGGTACATATTAATAATATCTACTCTATGACAATATATGAAGAGCATATCTACTCGATGAAGTAACCATTATCCAATTTTTTCCCATCAGAAAACTGAGGTTCTAAGACTTTAATTGGCCTACTGAGTCAATAAGTAGTATAAATGAGACTTGAACTCTGATCATCTAAGTCAACTGGTCTCTTTTCATTGATCTTCTATTGCTAGAATGAAAAGGCAAGTGATATATCAGGGAAGTTTTCTGCCTACTGGCAATAGGTCAGCTTCTCCCTTTTTTAATTTTCATAATCCTGTGATAGATTAATATCATTTTCATCTTCTTAATGAGCAAATGAAGATGATTGAGATGACTCAGACCTTGTTATGATCATACACAAGTATCAGGAAAAGTACCACTGAAAAGTACCAGTGGCTCTTTTCAGGGTTTTCTTCCTTGTGAATAATGCTGTCTCTTGGCACTAAATATATTACTTATTCTCTTCCTCAGAATCTTTCTTTCTGACTTCCTTCTTGGATTATTTCCTCTGTCTTGCAAAATGGAAAAGATACTCCCAGAAAAATAACTTAGCAATGGTTATATGAGAGAGAGAGAGACTCATCTCTGTAGTATACAAATCTTAAAGCTTTAAATATCACATGGGAGCTTCATTAAATTGAGGAGTCAAGGCTCTATCCTGAGGGCTGGTCCCTACATTTAGTAGTTTATTGAATGGGATTCAGGAGTCAGCATTAAAATTACCAATCTTTTAAGTGATTTTGTGGCAGGTAAACCAGACTTTTCTTTGAATAAAACACCGAATCACTTTCTGTCATTAACCCTTCCACCCTGTAGCAATGGTATTTCAGTCACCAACCTTGATTATTGATCTTAAGTTCACTTTGCTTCCTTGGAATTGATGGATTCCTTTTTAATCTATTCCCTCCCTGCCTCCCCAGACATCCATTCTTAGAAGCCTCCATCACTTCTACTGAATAATAATGCACAGCAGTGTTCTTCCTATGTTGCCATTCTCAGCTATGCATCTCTTACTTAACACAAAAGTAGAGTTCACTTCAAGTAAAAGAATGAATAATAGATACTCTGTGTACTAGTGGCAAGGTGATTACTAATTACATTATCAGATAATTACATTATGAGAACTAGAATGCATTTGTTGAGTCTTGCCCTTGACATTCTTCATGCAGACTCTCTATTTGCCATACTTATAATCCCCTGGGATATAAATCCTCCTAGGACTAGACCCTGAAGAACATCTAGACTCATCTCTCCCTCAGTTCAGGAGATATTCTGAGCTGGTAATATTAGCAATACAGAGTCTGTTGAAAAGTATAAAAAATTTCCATTTCTTTTGCGAAGTCTATTTGTTGTTTTATTCTTACTCAACCATCAAAGCTATTCCATGCTTTTCCAGTAGTTCACTCCCTCACTTCACATCCATCCTAGTGAATGCCTTCACTCTTCATTCTTCCTTTCCTGCTCTTTCTAATCCTTCACTTAGGAATGTTGCCTCTGGCCTGATCCCAAAACAAACAACAGGAACAAATTACCTCTACAGTCTCATAAAGATTCTTTGAACTTTAGAATAAATTTAAAATATTCTGCTTGGTGTTCTCAGCTAGCGAACAAATTAAAAATATGTTCTCTATATCAAACCTTACTTTCTACTCACCTCTTCCTTAATCCATGGCTTATTAGATTCAAATTCCCTCTACACCCTTCCAGTGAGGGGTCAGTTATTTCTTCCTTTTTGTTGGCACTCTGTATTTCTCTTGAAGAATTATTATATTGTCTTATGATAAATTGGTTTTTGTTGCTTAGTTTCCATATATGTGTTCATTTAGATTCAGTTGTTCTGTTATCAAGCATACCTTAAATGCCTTTGTGTTCTAGAAACATTGTCTACATCTAAGAAGCATGCAGTAAATATTTATTTGCAGATGAATAAAAGGAATAATGGATTAGTTATTATGCCTATTTAACTGATATTGTAAACACTTCTCTTTATATATCACACATATTAGGCCTTTAATTAATACTCCTTTTTCTTTGACTTTTTTTCTCTTTCTTTTTGAATCTTTTCATTTTCTAAAGGTAATGTTAGTTGAACAGCTTTTCCACAATGAGTTCAAACCATTTTTGAAGAGATGGTATAGCATTATGAGATTAAGTGGTGATACTCAACTAAAAATATCATTTCCAGAAGTTGTCAAAACTTATGATGTTATTATCAGTACAGCTCAAATCCTTGAAAACTCCCTCTTAAATCTGGAAAATGGAGATGATGCTGGAGTCCAATTGTCAGGTTGGTTGAAGTATTTATTTGTAGAAAAAAGGAATTAAGTAATAATATTAATGATAGTAACCGAGGTGGCATTTGTTAAATAATTTTAAAGTGATGATAAAAAGGTAACTTTGGTTTAGATTATCTTTCATTTTTTTAAGTTTTCATTAAAACCCTCTGCCTTCTGGGAAAAACAAATATAAAGATAAAATTTTAACTATGTCACTTTATTGTACATAAAATACCATTGCAACATAAGTGCTCACTGGATTCTGTATGTTTTATCTGCTAGTTGATCTTATCAGAACTTCCTTTGTCTCCATGGAGTAAAAATATAATCTTTTCTGTTTTATGCAGAATGGATTGTAAAGGTAGGAGAAAGGCAGGGGAAGAGTAAAAGTAATTGTAATAATTAAATACAATTTTAAAAGAAGATAAAACTCTCCCTCTTTAAATAGTGCGGTGACAGTTGATGTAATAAAAACAAAATTTATCGACCTAAAATTATATATTTTATTAAATAGAAAATGTGTAGTCTTGAGAGGTTGCCCAAGCAGGTTGTGAATTTTATTCTATAATGCTTTTTAGCCCTATGAACTTTCTGAATCTTATGTATGAAACAGAGATAAGGAGAGTTTCATGATTAGTACATGTGAACTTTGGTATGTGCAGGTGCCTTGTTACCAAGCTGAATAAGGCCTGTGCCAGTATGATGCCCTCAAAAAGACATCCCCCTGTCAGCTCAGTCCAGTAGCTTCAAGGTACTTCTCTTATTGTAGCTTGTTGGTATGGGAAAACAAACCATTTGATTTTTGTTTTAAGACTTTTCCCTCATTATCATTGATGAATGTCATCACACCAACAAAGAAGCTGTCTATAACAACATCATGAGGCGTTATTTGAATCAGAAGTTGAAAAACAATAGGCTCAAGAAAGAAAATAAACAACTGACCACCCTGCCACAAATACTAGGACTAACAGCTTCACCTGGAGTTGGAGAAGCAAAAAACCAAGTGCAAGCTGAAAAACACATTTTAAAAGTAAGACCTGAATTTAATATATAACGAAAAGAAAACTAAAACAAATGACTTCTTGGGTTTTTGAAGTAAGGATGAAAATTCAAATACCATGATCACCAGTTAAATGAAATCTGTTTCCTTTAACTATAATAAATATACTGTCACCTACAAGACAGTGATATGTCTTAATAAATACCTATGACACTGAACACCACCATAGGAATTATGGAAAGTGGATAAAATAATGGGAAATTGAGACAAATAGAAAGCTTTATTTTCAACTCTTTTGCTTCTGCGGTTAAACTTCACAATCTACTTGATATAGATGCTTAAACTATGAACATTTCTAGTTTACACTCATGATAGCATCTCACTCTATGCATTTCAAAATTTATTTTTTGTGTCTATTCTGTTATATATAATTCTAAGAATCTGGGTTATTCAAATAGGAAATAGAGATATGAAGATCTTTCATTAAAGATAAACTTGTTAACTGTCCCAAATAGTAATACCAATAAAGCACTTCTATCTCAAGTGTTAAATGAACCAGTACCCCAAGCAATTGCATTTGAATTTTAAATCCTTACTATAAATTGAATTCAGGAAAAGAATCACAGGAAGGACAACATTCAGAGGCATAATTATTGGCTCCAAAATATAATTTATTACTGTATCCCAGTAAGGGCTAACTGCTATTTATAATCCAAGTACAAGGGTTAAAGTTGCATCTTATTTTGCCTTGCCTTTTTATGTGTAGAAGAGGCTGTGAATATGATCTGTGAACATCAAGATGACTTTTATATCTCTGTAATATGAGAATCCCATAGCCATTCTCTGAAAGCTGCTATACTCTTTCTATGCCCAGTATTCTAGTAGCAAAATGGAATATAAGGGATGAAAAGAAACATACTGTTTTCCTAGATTATCCATCAACTTGATTTAGAAGTTCCTTTTTACTATATCAGGACAAATATCATGGACATTAGCTAATCAGATCCACAGTAAAACAATACTAAAGTGTTATATTTAGCAAGTGGTGCTACATATTACCTGCATGAAATTTTATGCTATAAATTATGTACTACAAATTTCTTATACAAAAATATACTAAATTGATTATAAGGGAACAGTAATTATTTGATTGTTAAAAATATCTCTTTTCCAGATATGTGCCAATCTTGATGCATTTACCATTAAAACTGTGAAAGAGAATTTTGATCAACTCAAAGAACAAATAAAGGAGCCATGCAAGAAGTTTGAAATTGCAGATGACACCAGAAAAGTATGTGCTTAACATTTTATATCTATTTGATTGGCCACTGTGTTTGGTCTGTGACCAAACTCCACTTTTTCTTTCTTTTTTTTTTTTTTTCTCTTTTTACAGTGCTAGGACTAAACCCAGGGCCCTGCTGATGCTAGGCAAACTCTCTACTGCTGAACTACATCCTCACTCCACAAATTATTTTATTTAACTCTGAAAAAGAACACTATCTATTCAAACTGCACTAGCAAATTTGAGTATATTTTATTCACTGGCACTTTTTGTGATTTATTCAGTTTTACTTGATAAGCTTTGTGCATGCTTCCACACATAATTATCTAGAAACATTTCTCAGGATTTTACAAATTGCCTCCTTTTACATTATTGAACTTTTTGATGTACTTTACATTGAAGTATAACACACAGAGAAAAGTCTAATTTCATAAGTGCACTGATTGTTGGATTTTTATAAAGTGAGCACCCCTATGCAAGCAAAATTCAGATCAAAAGACAATACACTGTCTGTCAGCTCTCCAAACCCCCTCATTCCCTCTTCCAGTCACCAGCTCCCAAGGAGAACTATCACCCTGATTTTTAAAACCCAAAGATGAGTTCTGGCTGATTTTGAACTTTATACACTTGAGTCATAAAGCATGCATTCTTTTATTCTTTTGTATGTTTATTTTTTCAAACTACCACAACTTTTTATTTTGGAAGAAATAATCCTGAAATTAGTTCTTCAAAGAGGAATGTTTCTAAAACTAGATTGTAGGTTTTCTAAATAACTGTGCCATTAATTCAGTATGTTCTTTAAAAATTACCTTTAACAATCAAAGGTTGTTAAAATCACTGACCTACTTCTATAAATCTTTAAGGAAGCTTAAAGGTGAGGTCCATGGTGTTAGTGTGGGTGTGGCTTGATGGTGGAGGTGAGAAGGAAGCTGACAAAAACATGTAATGTACAAAGACATGATCAGAGATTATCCTGTTACTTTGTTCAGGTAATGATTCTGAATCAAATTTGTTATAATTAGTACATTATTCCAACAAACACAGTGCTATTCTATAACAACAGAAAGGTAAGAAGAAGCATTTAATTTATTTTTAGGATCCATTTAAAGAGAAACTTCTAGAAATAATGACAAGCATTCAGACCTACTGCCAAATGAGTCCAATGTCAGAGTGTGGAACGCAGAATTACGAGCAATGGGCCATTAAGACGGAAAAAAAAGGTAATTTTGGTTTTGATCTAACAGTTTAACCCAAGTTTATGCCAAGATTTCCCATGATTATATCACAAACTCACAAGTAAACTGAAAGCAAATGGAACATGAAATAGAATTTCTGTGCTCTACATATGACAAGCACAAACATGTTCTAATTCCTTATCTAAGGAAAGATATACCAATTCATCCAGTTTTCCTTTTTATTTACTATATATTAAAGTATTAAGATAGCTATTAACTGCTCTCTGTCTCCAAAATCAGCTCCACTAATGTTTTTCATGCCATTACTCTACGGATCAGGCACAGATTCTTGCTGGTGCAGCGCTCCCACAGCACTTCTCTGAGTTGGAAAACAAGTATTTTGAAGCCATAATGCTTTCAAGTCTACAACACAATTGTAGGAAGTTGTATGCTTATTACGTCACTTGCATAAAGTATTTCTCCACAGCTGCTAAAGAAGGAAATCGCAGAGACCGTGTTTGTGCAGAACATTTGAGGAAGTACAATGAAGCCCTACAAATTAATGACACAATCAGAATGATTGATGCTTATAACCACCTTGAATATTTCTATAATGATGAGAAAGAAAAGAAACTTGCTGTCTTATGTGATAGTGATGAGAGCGGTGATGATGGTGATTGTGACGGTGATAAACATGAACACAATGTAAAGAAACCTTTGAAACTGGATGGCACCGACAGATTTCTCATAACTTTGTTTTTTGGTAAGACTCAGTGTAACATGTATTACATAGCTCATGCATTTACCTCGCTTCAGGAACCTACTGCTTCTTACAAGTGTTACAAAGGCCTTCTTAACATTTCATTTTGAAAGAAGAAATCCCACAAAGATTGTGGTTGTTTCTTTTCTTTACTTTTTTGGCATTTCTTTCTTTCTTTCTTTTTTTTTGTCTTTTCTACTTTTATTTTATCATTTTTACATTTACTTACACATGTATACATTGTTTGTGCCACCCTCACCCCCACCCCCACTTCCGGGCAGAACCTGTTCTGCCCTCTTGTTCTCCAATTTTGTTGAGGAGAAAAGATAGGAGAGAGTGAGAAAGACATCGTTTTTGCTAGTTTGAGATAAAGATAGCTATACAGAGAGATTCCTAGTGTTGCTTCCATGCACTTGCGTATTGCAACCCACATTGGTTCATCTCTGCCAGACCTCTTCACTACTTCCTGGTCCCCTTCTCATAGTGGCCTCTGCCAATTTCAGATTACTTTATTCACTCCTCTACAGTAAGAACATCAACTACTTTCAAGTTTTACATTTCCTTTCTTTTCTGTATTTCTCCTGTGCATGTTCTCCCCTTAGTGTGCAACCCATGTCCAATAATATTACTGCATTTGTTTTGGTCTGTAATCCACATATGAGGGAGAACATGTGATTTTTGGCCTTCTGAGCCTGGCTAATGTTGCTTAAGATGATGTTCTCTAGTTCTATCCATTTACTTGTGAATGACAAAATTTCATTCTTCTTTGTGGCTGAGCAAAATTCCATTGTGTATAAATACCACATTTTCTTAATCCATTCTTCAGTAGTGGGGCATCTTGGCTGTTTCCATAGCTTGGCTGTTGTGAATAGCACTGCAATAAACATGGTGTGCAGGTACTTTTGTAATAACTCAAGTCACATCCCTTTGAGTATATCCCTAGGAGTAGTATTGCTGGATCATATGGCAGATCTATGTTTAGTTTTTTAAGGAGCCTCCATATTGTTTTCCAAAGTGGGTATACTAGCTTACAGTCCCACCACCAGTGTTTAAGAATTCCTTTTTCCCATATCCTTGCTGACATTTGTTGGTAGTGGTGTTCTTGATGTAGCCATTCTAACAGGGATGAGGTAGAATCTTAATGTGATTTTGATTTGCATTTCCTTTATGGCCAGGGATGGTGAGCATTTTTTTTTCATGTGTTTTTTGGCCATTTGGATTTCTTCCTTTGAAAAAGTTCTGTTTAGTTCAGTTGCCCACTTCTTTATTGATTCATTGATTTTGGGGGAATTTTTTTTGAACTCTCTATATAGTCTGGTTATTAGTCCTTTGATGTATAGCTAGCAAATATTTTCTCCCATTCTCTGGGTGGTCCCTTCAATTTAGAGACCATTTCTTTTGTTTAGAAGCTTTTTAGTTTTATGTACTCCCATTTGCCTATCCTTTCTCTTAGCTGCTGGGCTGCTGGAGTTCTGAGGAAGTCTTTGCCTATACCTACTGTTTCCAGGGTCTTTCCTGTACTAACTTCAAGGTTTCGGATCTGATATTAAGGTCCTTAATCCACTTTGAGGTGATACTAGTACAAGGTAACAGGCATGGATCTAGTTTCAGTTTTCTGCAGATAGATAGCCATTTTTTCCCAGCAATATTTGTTGAAGAGGCAGTCTTTTCTCTATCGTATGTTTTTGGTGCCTTTCAAAAATCAGGTGGGCATAGTTGTGTGGATTCATATCTGGGTCCTCTGTTCTGTTCCACTGGTCTTCATAACTGTTTTGTGCCAGTACCATGCTGTTTTTATTTCTATGACTCTATGGTATAGTTTGAAGTCGGATATTGTGATACCTCCAACATTGCTCTTTTTTGCTCAATATTGCCTTGGCTATTTGCAGTCTATGTGTTTCCAAATGAACTTTCAGATAGATTTTTCAATCTCTGTGATTAATGTCACTGGAATTTTGATGGGTATTGCATTGAACATGTAGATTGCTTTTGGTATTATAGCCATTTTTACTATGTTGGTTCTACCAGTCCATGGGCCTGGGAGATCTCTCAACCTTCTGTAGTCTTCCTCGATCTCTTTCTTCAGGAGTTTGTAGTTCTCTTTATAGAGGTCATTCACATCCTTTGTTAAGTTTACTTCTAGGTATTTGATTTTTTTTTTGAGGCTATTGAAAATGGAATTGTTTTCCTATATTGTTTCTCAATTTGTTCATTGTTGGTGTATAGAAAGGCTAGTGATTTTTGTAAGTTGATTTTGTATCCTGCTACATTGCTGAAGCTGTTTATGGTGTCTAGGAGTTTTTGGGTGGAGTTATTCGGGTCTTTGAGGATCATGTTGTTTGCAAATAGGGATAGTTTTGACTATTTCTTTACCTATTTGTATTCCTTTTATTTCTTCTTCTTGCCTTATTGCTCTGGCTAGGAACTCTAGGACTATGTTGAATAGAAGTGGGGAGAGTGAGCACCCTTGTCTTGCTCCTGACTTTAGAAGAAATGGTATCAGTTTTTCCCCATTAAGTATGATGTTGGCTATAGGTCTGTCCAGATTAACAACTTGATGTGTCATCATAATAAACCAATTGATCATCCAGTTTTATTGCCAAGATAATTATAATTAATTTATTAATTAGAACATCTTGATTATTAGATATAGCACAAGATTAACTGAAAATGATTCACATCTCTTTGCATCATTACATAAAAATTTCCAGTGTTAATATTTTATATATTACTAATATATACTAATTTCATTTTTTAATAGTTTTCAAAATTAATTCATTTCTTCCTTAATTTAGCATTGAATTTATGTGTGTTTACTATGTATGGCATGATGTTCTACAACATATGTGTGTGGTGTGTGTGTGTGTGTATGGAATATATGTGTGTGTTTTGTAGACTAGCTGTATCAAGATAATTTATATTAATTTCTTAAAGAAAACAAGAAAATGTTGAAAAAACTGGCTGAAGACCCAAAATATGAAAATGAAAAGCTAACCAAATTGAGAAACACTATATTGGAACAGTATACTAAAACTGAGGAATCAGCACGGGGAATAATTTTCACCAAAACAAGACAAAGTACATATGCCCTTTCCCAATGGATTGCTGAAAATGAGAAGTTTGCAGAAGTAGGAGTCAAAGCCCACCATCTGATTGGAGCTGGACACAGCAGTGAGTTCAAGCCTATGACACAGGTATAAGTATCCTTTGGGGCTTCTTTTCTTATGCTGTTAGTCCTCGTCACAAATTGTTTGTAATGTTTTCATTAGTTTGCTCACCACTGCACAAATATGGTTACAAAGTAAAACAGTTAAAATAAATTTTGAGTTTAATATCAGGCTTATCATATTTGATAAGCTAAGCATTGTCTAAGGACAATACTTGGAGGAACTTCATAAATTGAGTTTCTCTTGCGAAAATGAGTGATTTTTAACTTAACAATGTAGACTAGTAGTTACAACATAAAATCAAGTGGAAAAATCAAACCTTCAGTAAAAGGGTATTCACTATAATTAGAACTTGCAAAAATATGTTTGCATCAAATGAAATCTGTAACATAATTTGCAAAAGTTAAATTATTTGTGCATTAGAGACTTGGCATTTGAGAGGCTCTCTTCTCCTTTTAGAGGTTTTTTATTTTATTATTCTATTGTGTGCATAATTAAAAAATATTTGGAAGAGAAATAAAGGCACTTGTAGACATTATAAGCATAAATTATGATGTCTTACTAAAGTAAAACATTCTTTTGAGGGTTAAAGTCATATTGCCCCTGAGTCTTACTAGACAAAGAATGAGTCACTACCAATCCAGTCGATGGAACAAACTGAATCTGTCTTGGTGTTTGTTTAGGGAAAAAACTCTCGAAATTATCTACTGTAACTCTCAACATACCCTGTACATGCACTTATGTGAGAATTGCCTCTAAAATTTAGTGTCAGCAACAACACTGTTTTCCTTTGGTAATAAGTTTGTTATCAAACTCATCAGATGAGAGCCAGGTAATGTGTTTCCCATTTTTTCCCTTGCTTCTAGGAACCTTGAAGGCAAATTAGAAGTTCACTCCAACAGCCTCTGTGTTAATCTTTACAAGTCATACCTCTATATTCTTTCACTTTGCTTTCTATTTTTCAGTTTCTATTGTATTTATCAGCATTATGACTTTTATTGCAAGTGGCCTAAGCACTTATTTTAAAGGAGATGAAGTGCAAACGAAAAGTCCATGATTAAACTACTTACTACTGCTGGTCCACTTCAATCTGCAGACTACTTGCCAAAACACAGAGCACACTCCCTCACTCTCTGCAGCCTCGCTTTGCAAATTGGGGTGTACTTACCTATCAGCAGAGGAGTTAGCATCTACTTGATGTGATTTCAGATTTCACTGTACCTGAAGTTTCATTATTAAAGTTACTCCTTGAAATTTAGGGGTGGACATCTGCTAAAATCCAAGGGCATGTCAATTTTGTATCAGTAGATGTGAGGGCACGAGGGAGAAATTACCAAAGACTCAAAAGAGGCCTTTTCTCCAGGGTTCTCCAGCAGTTAGGAGTCAAATAAAAAAATCATGCTGCCTCTGAGAAGAAAGAGAAGGGGATGAGAGAACAAACATTGGTCTAGCAGGTTTATTTTTATGTAATATATGAAGACAAAAGGTAGTGTGAATGAATACCAAATGCCACCTGGGCTGGCAGCTTTGGTGAGACTGAGTATAAAAATTAAACTTCACTGGCCAAATTAGGCTAGGTTTATGCTCAGCTATTCTTCCAAGGCAAGGGCCAGAGGACATATTTTAATATATTTACATTAACTTTCAAAATTCATATCTTTACTGAAGATTGTTTGCTGTGATAATGTTTCTAATACCTATTCTTCCATTTTGTTTACATTGTTCCTTTGAATAGACCATACCTCTACCTTGTTCAAAATTAGAGGTAAAGCATAGCACTGCTCTCCAGTCTACCAGCTCCACTCCCTGGAAGCAGCTAGTGTTTTCAGTTTCTCATGTGCCCTTTCAGGAATATTCCAGATGTTTCTTGCCTGAATGAAAAAAAACTCAACAATCTACAAAAGCATCACCACACCTTATTCTCTGACTATTATAGATTTTGAAGTTAACACAGTAAAAAGGAAAACTCACTTTGGTTTCTCATCATTATATCATATCTCTTTTGGACTGGCAAAAGCTTCTCCTTTCTTCCCTCCAAATCACCCATCAATTTATTTCCTTGGCATAAAGGATGGTCTTCCCACCTCCAGACTGAAGGATGGAAATATTTTTGTTATTGTGCGGTAATCCCAGATTGGAAATCAAATGTTGTCTCACCATCATGTCTTTGTTCAATGCCAAAAACAGATGGCAGCAAATCCGTGTCTGATCTAATCCTTTGATTCACACTGACCAGTTGCAATTTATTATTTCTCCTCCTAATTAGAAGATTTGAATGTGTTTAGCATCACAAAATTTAATTTATTAAAATGTTTTCCACAGAATGAACAAAAAGAAGTCATTAGTAAATTTCGCACTGGAAAAATAAATCTGCTTATCGCAACCACAGTGGCAGAAGAAGGACTGGATATCAAAGAATGTAATATCATTATCCGTTATGGTCTTGTCACTAATGAAATAGCCATGGTCCAGGTATATTCAGATACCTCTATTTCGTATGTTACTTTTATTCCTGTGTTTCTATTTTAATTGCTTTCTTTTAATTAAAAAGCACAAAACATCTTTTTAGTTTTAAGTATATATCTCTTTTTCTGCTAAAAGAGCAGTCTTTAAGAGCTGTGCAATACTGACATTTGTATTATTGTTGGCTAATTCTTATGATAAGCAGATAATTCTTGCATTTTTAATCAGTAACTCTTTTCAATTATCTATTTTTGTGTCTTGAGACTTTTCAGGATTGTGGCACTGGCCCCATTTGTAAGAGTCAAAAGAGCCCTTCTCATTCCTAGGATGTCCGAGAACTACTATAGGATCAGGAGCTGAACCACACTGTCCCACAAGTATCTAGCAAAGTAACAAAGTAATGCACCCAGATCTTAGTTAGGGAACCCTGTTGTTTCTGTGTTTTCTTCCGCTGATCATTCAACTTTTCCATATGTTTGAAATTTTTCATGATAAGATGTTGAGCGGATGCAGACTTAGAATATAATAAATAAGTAAATAATAAATAAGCAAGATGTCTTAGTTTCCAGTTTCTCTCTTAACAATCTATGTTAACAGTAATGTGCTCTTTTGTTTAGTATGTCAACAAGTTATGATGAATAATAGATATAATACTCATCCTGTAACATTAACTAGAGGGTTTTTGCTAATACTTTAAATTGTATCCTCAGAAGGAAGGCAAGTCACAGAAAACTAAGATGACTAGATACGAAGTAATTTTATCAATTACTTCAAGATTTGTCAAGAGGTTTTTTACTCTGAATGCATTTTTTCCTTGAGGATAATATAGTTGATAGGCTCCTGAGCCAAAACTCAAAAACTTCTACTCAAAATGTACCTGAGTAACACCTTAGTTAAAAGCATATTTTCATGGGAATATGTCCTCCAAATCAATGTAGACCTCCAGGACCCTATTTGCACTCTCACCAGCCCTAATGCCAGCCAGAGATGCCCTTCCCACCAGGCAGAAGGTCACTGCCCTGGCTCCCATGATTTGGGAGGGTTGCTTTGGGGACAAAAATGCTGGACAGGATGGCCCTTATATTGCAGACGCTTTTCAAGGCTTTTGATAGCTCAGAGGAGACTGAACTACCATAACTCTAGATATTGCTTCTATATTAAAGCACATTGAAGTTTTAAAAAGCCTACTCACAAGGAATGAATAATAACTAACTTTCCCCAAAATAGATCATTTGAAGGCTAGGATGCTAACCAATGAATATCATTCCAGGTGAAAACCAGGAGACTTTGTAGCGAAGCATAGCCTTTCATTTAATTGATTTTTTCATGTTTGCAGGCCCGTGGCCGAGCCAGAGCTGATGAGAGCACCTATGTCCTGGTTGCCCACAGTGGTTCAGGAGTTGTTGAACGTGAGATAGTTAACGACTTCCGAGAGAAGATGATGCATAAAGCCATACACCGTGTTCAAAATATGAAACCAGAGGAGTATGCTCATAAGGTATTATTCTTGGCCATCTCTGAATTTATTTTTCATCTAAAAATGGCTGTATGTGGTTGTCATTGGTATCTCTGTGGCTACTTCTCCAGGCAGAAATAGTGCTGAATTATAAGTTCCTGTTTGAGGAGCTGTGCTTAGTCCAGATTCACACACAAAGAATCAACATCTATGGTGGGCAGGAAATTATCAGGGAGCCTTTGGTTCATTCCAATGAAACCAAGAATAACCTTTGATAATACAAATTTAGGCTTCCCTTGATCCAAAAAGACTAGTGCAACTCACCCATTCAACCTAATCTGGCAGTTTTGGTTTGCTCCAATCCCTTCTTACAGCCACAATTTTTTATTCCTGAAATATTTGCAAAATGCCCACTACCAAGCAGTATTCTGGGAATAAAGAACATGGTGACACACATGACAGATAAGACCTCTATTGCATGAAACTTACATTAAGGTTCAGAGAAGACAAAAAGTAAATTAATTAAACAACAACATGCATTTTTCATAGAGATAAGTGCTACGAAGTTAGAATGCAATGATACAGAACAAGTCACTAGATGGCTACTTTAGATTGGGTGTTTGAGGAAGACCACTTAGAGAGAGTGACATTGAGGCCAGATCTGAATGATTAAAAATATGTAATATGTCATCTAGTTGTATCTCAATTTACTAACACAGTTATTTGAATTGTGTGAAAGAATACAGTGAAAAAAGAATATATTTCTGCAATATTTCAGGAAATCCTTCATACCACTGAATTAAAGACTGTAACTACTATAATAGCAAACAATCCATTTAGAAGAAAATTCACACCCTTGCATACGGGTGTGAATGTTAGTTTCTTAACATTGGAATTGGCTCTACCCTAAATAGAGTTTCAGGAAAGGGATGCTTTCAAATTGGTGTGCAAAGCTATAACAAACTCCAAGTTTTCCTGGCCAGGTTTCTATACAAACTTGTATGTCAAAACCCCTTTAAACATAAAGCAAACCAAACATTTTGGAGCATCAAACTTTTTTCATCAAATAATGCCACTAGAAAGTTATTACCTCACATTTAGTATCCTAAGAGAATGAGTCAAGTAGGTATTTGTAAAGGCTGATGTTTCAAGACTAGTTTTTTAGGGTAAATGCTAGGACAATCTTTGGAGTTTATGGACCAAATTTTCCCAGACACTCTTTAAAATGAAACAGTGTATTAGGCAGCCTTTCATTATTTTAATAAAATACCTGAGGTAAGCTACTTTATAAAAAAAAAAATAAGAGTTTTATTTTGGCTTATAGTTTGGAGGTAGAGATCCAAACAGAATGAAGAAGGTTCTGATTAGGACATCCCCTGAGCTATATCACATCATGGCAGGCGTGAATGCATATTGATGTGTCTGTGTGATCTGTCTCCTTATAAAGCCACCAGGATTCAATCATAGAGGCTCCATCCTAATGTCCTAATTTAATGTAATCACTTTTATAACACCCTGCTTCTAAATATGATAGCCAGATTCAGTTTCCACCCTCTTAATGCTATTAACATAAGACTTTGGTGATTCAATTCCTGAATGAATTGCGGGGAGGGGGGGGAAGTAATGTCAAACCATAACAGACATGGCCTTTTGGGGACCCCAGAATGGACTACCTTTCTTGGTCTTCTTTGGCTAAGAGACCTATCCTTTAAGACAAATGCAGGTAGATAAACTCAGAGCAGGAATGAAAATGTAGTGGGGTGCATGTACTATCATTCTGTTCAAAGTCCCTCACAAACATTGTTACGAAGTCAAAGCCACTAGAACATGTCCATTCTTCCAATTTCAGAATTCTTGACACAATGTTCAGGCAAACACATAAGGTAAGAATTGACACATAAGGTGAAATTTATTTTCCATGTCATATGCAGACTCTACATAACTGGAAGCCTTAAAATCATACCAGACTTCTAGGAGCAAGATGAGGATATTAAACACTTCCTCTGGCATTTGACCCCATTTTTTTCTCCATGATTTCTTTTTATTTGGGCTTAGACTGATTACAGTAGAACATTATATACTAAACTTTTCTGGGGTCAATGCCCCATTTTTGCTTCTTAGACCACAAGCTAAGTGTATAGTTTCACAAAGAGCTAGGATCTCCAAATTTTGGGAGACTTACTTCAATAAAACTGAAAAAATAAAAATATTAACTATTCTTTTCTCTATACAGATTTTGGAATTACAGATGCAAAGTATATTGGAAAAGAAAATGAAAATTAAGAGAAGTATTGCAAAGCAGTTCAAGGGCAATCCATCATCAATAACTTTTCTCTGCAAAAATTGTAGTGTGCTAGCCTGCTCTGGGGAAGATATTCACGTAATTGAGAAGATGCATCATGTCAATGTGACACCAGAATTCAAGTGAGTCCAGAAAGACCCATTTTTAAGTTTCTCTACTAATGGTGATGTCATTGTATTATAACTATTCTTCCAAAACAGTGTGAGTGACATTTTTTTTCAAAATTTCTCCCCTTTTAGTCCCCAATTGTATTCCAATGCTTAATTTTTTTTTTTTAAATAATCTACATTGGGACAAGAAAGGAGAAATGTAAGACTCCAAGCCATTTTGATCCAAGTTACATAATTTGTGGAAGTTCTTATTTCTTCTCAAATTTTTGAACAAATTTAATCAAAATCAAGCTAAAATAAGCAATAGATTTAAAAGAAGTCACAAAAGGCAACACAACACTAGAAAGTTATGTGTAGAAAGGAAACAGGAGGAAGAAAAGGAATAAAGTGTGGGTTAACACACACAGGTGCGTGTGCATCAGTTAGGACCCATGGGCTGCATATTGGTATTTTGCTAGTTCTCAATGGCAATTTTTCTTCCTTGATAATTTTAGAGAACTCTACATTGTGAGAGAAAACAAAGCACTGCAAAAGAAATTTGCTGACTACCAAACAAATGGAGAGATTATCTGCAAATGTGGCCAAGTGAGTAAATTGTTGTAGTCTCAGTTTTGAATAAAAGGAATGTTAAATTGAATGCACATTTAATTTTTCCTTTCATTCTCTCTTTTGTTTTCCAGGCTTGGGGAACAATGATGGTGCATAGAGGCTTGGATTTGCCTTGTCTTAAAATAAAGAATTTTGTAGTAGTTTTCAAAAATAATTCAGCAAAGAAACAATACAAAAAATGGGTTGAATTACCTATCACATTTCCTGATCTTGACTACTCAGAATATTATATGTTTAGTGATGAGGATTAGCATTTTGATTCAAGATTATCTTAAAATATTGTCAATTTAACATTTAATGCATTTTTGATTCATGTTTCCTATTGAACTGATGTGAGAGCTAATAAAATATTGCTCTACTTTGCAGTGAGCTCTTTCTAGAAACACAATATATGATGTTCTCAATTATCCATCTTTTGGTTGGCAGAGGTAAAGAAAATCTACAAATAGTAGTCATTAGCATGGAGCATTATCGTACTGTGGAAAGAATACTGAAGTACAAATGGGAATCCAAGGTGCCAATTTCAGCTCTGTCACTAATATTTATATTAAAATTAGGCAAATAAGTTTATCTTTTTGAACCAGCTTCCTTAATAGTGGAATGTTTATCATGCTATCTGCTTTTACTTTTATTAGCTTTCTATTGCTATATAAACAACTTGCCACAAAATTAGTGGTTTAAAACAACACCCATTTATTATCATACCATATATTATAGACCAGAAGTCTATGTAGGGTTTTCTGCGCAGGGTCTCCAAGGCTGAAATCAAGGTGTCAGCCAGACTATGTTATCATCTGGAGGCACAAGGGAAGACTGCATTGCCAAGCTCACTCGGGAAGTTGCCAGAACTTGTTTCTTTGCAGATGTCTGACTTGGATCCCTGTTTTCTTGTTGGAATGTCCACTGAGAATTGCTCTCAGCTCCTAGGAATGCCCTTACCCTGGGGCCTGCTCAAGGTCTCTTCCTAACACAGATATTTTCTTCAAGGACAGCAGGAGAAACTCTCAAGATTGCTAAGAAGGAGTTTTTTATATAACTTAACTGTAAAATAGAAATAGTTAGCCCATTGTATCCATAGGCCATGCTCACACTCAAGATGAGGGGATTGTTCAAGGTATCACAACTGAATTGGTGTGATTCAGACAGAAAAATTGAAGACCATCTTAGAATTCTACACCCCCCCCCACACAGCACTGTCCAGTTCTTACCAGTAATTGTACTTATTTATAAGAAAGCACTTTGACATATAGCAAGCACCATAAAAGATAGTGTCATTAAGGGGCTTCAGCCTTACTTTCTCAACCTCCAAAAACATAACACTATGCTAAATGACAAAGTGGTAGTTAAATTCAGACTGCTTCTAATGCCCGTGAGGTTACCTGTGTCCATGGAGAGAGCAGATCACTGCTCTGTCCAGGGTTTACACGGGATTTAGCAGACACCAGATGCTTGATGTTACTGGAGAATAAAGATAAAATGGCTGCCCCTACCCCACCCCAGTGCCTGGCAGATTAACCTCCCTGAAAGGTGACACTTCCAGTGTTTCTGAATGAAGTATCATTTGGAGATTGACACAGGGCCCAACATCTTCACTACAGGACCTTTTTCCAGAGAAAAGCAGCCTCTTATCATAGAAGAGCTGCAGGAGCAAGATAGTAGCCACAAGTGACCATTTTAACTGACATTAAGTCTCACTGATGGTTTTATCTGTATGGAAATACTTTTCTCCTATGGCTAAGAAGAACCAAAGTTTTGGAGGAGTGAAGAGAAAATTCTTCTGTAGCTTTGATGGATTAGCTGACTTTGGTATTATAGGAGTTTTGAATCTTTTTGATAAGAGCTAAGGAAAAATGAATATTAAACAATCGGAGCTCTTGGAAATGCAAGAGGACAAAAGATTTGGTTTTCCTAAAATACTTTCAAAAACTCCATCTGACTCAATTTAAAGTATTGCTGTATTTTAGAATGTTTTGGAAACTATGCAAGAAACCAAATGCATAAAATAGCTAAATGTACTACTGTAACATATGTAGACTGTTTTTGAGGTATCAACAAATATCAGGTTTTTCCATTTATGTTTGCTATTAACTTTGCTCAATAAAAATGTTACTTTTTACTTTACAGTTTTAAAATAGATGCTTCAGATAGTATTAAACATAATATTTGATGGTACCTGAAAACTTGAACTATGGTGCTCATATTTCATTTAATAACAGCTGTAATTATTGCATTTTGATGATTGTTACTGATTATATGTTAATAATCATAATATTTTAGTTCGGCTAACAGAATGTGCTCATGACACACAGACATCAGTCAGTAGTTAGAATGCCTGAGTTTTAGTTTCCATAAGGAGGACTTCAATTAATTGAATGACTTTGAGAAGCTTCATCTCATAGTCCATGCTTCCAGCTCCCTGCCTGCTTGTTTTAAGACATTGTCTAATGACTTGGGGTCATATCAGCTCTGAGCTAAATACCTGCTGAGGCACTGCACACTTGAATGTAGCTCATGTCTGTTGAAGGATTTCTCAGGTGTCCTGCAGAGCAGATGCACTGGTTATAGTCATGTGTCTCAAGGCACATTCAGATGGCCTGAAAGTGTCAGAAAATTTTAGAATAAATGCTGCTAAATGAGATAATTGGAAAACCTTGTGGATATAAAATATTAAACACAGAGGGGGTAAGCTTATTCAAAGTACATTGTATGCATCTATGGAAACATCACAATGAAAACACTGTGTACTATTAATGTGTGCTAATAAAACAGTAAAAAAAGTTCACTGTGGAAATAAAGAAATGTGAGGCACAAATCCAAAAAAGTCTAAGCTCTTTTTAGACCAAATGCAATTAAAATACAACAATTTCAATTTTGTACAAATATATCGAAAATAAGAGATAACAGAAACATGAATAGGAAATAGTTTCCCAGAGAACAAAGAGTACATGACGTAAGTAATGAAAATGAAATGTACTTATAAGATGATGAATGTCTTCTCTGAAATTAAGTAGTCCCTATAGCAGAACATTATGCCATAGAAAAAAAAGTTTCAAGTGTTGTTTTCAATTCAGTTGAACATGGTGCCAAGAATTAGTGAGATTTTCTTGTCATTGCCTAGGTGCTGTTGGGGAAGAGCAATAGAGAGTAAGAAAATATCAGCATTGCCCAACCTGAAAGTTAATTGCTTATCATGTATTATTGATTTTTTTTCTACAGAATGATCTTGCTACAATCTTTTCTAGTCACTCTGATCCTTGCACAAATACATGCCTTTGCTCCTGGGTAGAAGTCATTCTTTCCCACCTCTCAGCAAATACCTTTTATGATCTTCAAAGACAAACCACAGTGTCACTTCCCAGAATCTAGTTCAGTTCACAATTCCAGAACCAAAATGGAGAGAACATGTAAGGAAATTATTGTTTACTCACCCCAAACATAATAAAAGGCTCTCTTCCAAAATCTGGTAAACAAGTATGTGAGTCATAGCAAGGAAGACAAAACAAGAAAAAGATTTTATTTTCTTCTAAGCATTATAAAGTTAAATTGAATTGATTATAAATGTCTTGTCTTCTTCATTGTGTATATTTCTCCTTAATTGTCTTACTAGACATGTGACTTTATATTTTGGGTTTTATGCATAGAGTATGGAGTGAGATAAACTTGAATTTGGATCATCACTAGCTGTGTGACTGTGAAATGAAGTCATTTACACTCTCTGAGGCCAGGGGAATTAATGCCTACCTGATGGAACGGTCATAAAAATTTGGATCCTGCCCAGAATATATCTGGTAGTTTGCACTTAGCAAAAAGTAGCCACAGAATATAGGAGCAGGAGTTTCTGGAAGAGTAGCAGCAGTTATAATAGCTGTAGACATAGGAACAGCATAATAAACTAGACCTATGTTAAATATACAGGACTAGAGACCCCTACATCATCTGTTAGCCTGTAGGTGTGTCCCAAGAAGTAAGTAGTAACCATAACAAAACAGGTATGTTAATACATGCTAATAGCATGACTATGCCATTCAGTGCAGCTCAGGGAAGGATTTAATGCCCATCTCTTCTATGGGTATTGAACAGAAAGATAAATATCAAAGTAAATACAAATATCAAGAAAATATAATAATGTTGTTTGACTGACTCAGCAACTGCATGAGAGTGAGAGCAGTGTGGGTGTGCGTGTGTGTGCATGTGTGTGTGTGTGAGAGAGAGAGAGAGAGAGAGAGACACATTGAGTTGTCAACAGTAATTTTTGTCCAGCACAAATCATTGTCTTTTATTTGTTTCTTAATCCTTAAATTTTTCTCAGATTCTAGGATCTTAAAATAAGAAATATATACTTAAGTATTACAGATACTATTTATGCTTTTTAGAAAATTTTCACAGTGTAATACCAAGTCCCATTTTGCATGAAATTAATTCTCCCATGAGCACTTCATTTGAAGCTGAAATGTGACTAGAAGAATGCTCTATTTATTAATTCATAATCTTTACATTCAAGGAAAGCCCAGAGCTTAGGTAGACCCATGGGAAGAAGATTGTTTGTAGGAAGTAATATAGATTTTTTAGGGAGGAGTCATACTGGAATTTGAACTCAGGATCTCATGCTTGCTGGAAAGAGCTGTATCACTTGAGCCGTATTTCTAGCCTAGGAATTAATATTCCTAGGCTACACACATTAATTGTGCCAAATAAATTTTTCTATTGAAAGGTACAACTTCATTGAGAAAAATCAGTGAAGATTCCCCAAACTTTGTAATATTTTGTTCAGTGTTTTATTCTTATCACTTGTTTTAGACAAAATGCAAAACTTAAATAATTACAACAAACATTTAAAAAACATTTCAATCCATGTAAAATGTTGTGTCCCGTGCAGAAGAGCAAAAAGGAGCAAAAGGCCAGGCATGGTGGAACACATCTGTAATCCTAGTCAGGCAAGAGATGGAGGTAGGAGAATTTACAGTTCTTGGCCAGCCAGGAAGAAAGCTCAAGACCCTGCCAACAGCAAAGCAAAGCCAGAAGGATGGGTACATGGCTCAAGGGGTGTGCGTGCCTACCAAGCATGAGGCCCTGAGTTCAATTCCTGAGACTGCCCCAAAAAGAAGGAGAAAGTGAAGAAATGAAACTAAGAAGATAAATAGAAGCAAGATCATATTTAAGGAAAAGGATAAAAAAGATACCCACATTAAGACAGGTAAACAAAGATATGAGAAAAGAAGAAGGAAAAGAATAAATTTAACTGAAGAAGATGTATAATCTAACAACCAATTATTCCTTTATTCATTCACCAAATATTTAAGGAGTTGAATATACTTAAAGAATTCCTACATAAGAAAGTGAATTTAGGGACAGAGAATAGTGAGTA